TTTAACAATTATGTTTAATTTCTTCTCACTGAAGTTTTCAATTTTTTTTTCTCTTTATATTAAATTAAAATGACATAATTGTCAGGTGCAGTCAAATTTGATGTCAACTATATATTTTTTTACGAACACGATTTAATGCAGAAACTATTAATTCTGCTTGTAATAACCTATTCACCACCAGACTTTCTCACCCAAATTTTTCTCATATTCTTTATTATTCCTGGAAATTGACCCCAATTTTGAAGCCAACGGACAAACAACAAATTGTATTAATTAATATATGTGGTTTGCAATATGAGTTAGGTATAGGCTCCATTTTCTTTTTCCTTATACATGTATATATCGTAACTTGGTCAGCTTAGTTAAGGCAAACTGGATACAATATAAACAAACTTAATAACAGCAAATAAAACAAACAAAATAGTTATAAATAAGCAAAAATAATATTAACAGGTCATACATACATTGTAGCACAGTCCCCGTTAGTTATCAAATTTGGTGCCGAGACCAGGATATCCAATACTGATTCATCATGCCTCGAAGAATCCTAAACAAAGCAATAGATAGACTGAACAAAGTTGTGACTCAATTAAATATCGCGTTGACACTTGCTGAGGATAGAATCCAAGACTTTGAAGTCACTGACAACAAATCTGAAGTATATCGGCTGATCAAAGTAAGCATACTAGCACTTGACAATCGTATCTCAAACTTACAAAAGGCCTGCGACGAAGTCAGAAATTATGCCGATGTTCTGGACGCAGAGTTTACGGAAACTGAAGAAATCGAACTCAAATTACTAGAGAGGTTTAGTTCGATCAATTTATTCCTGACAGAAAACAAGCCAGCGAAGCAAGAATTACATCCAGTCCCACAACTTGGTCAACACGAAGTAAATCAACAACCAATCCCTCCAGATGATCAACAAGCACCGGTCCAACAGCTCGTACCGCCGCCGACACCTCAAGTCGCACTGCCGCCGACACCTCAAGTCGTACCACCGCCGACACCTCAAGTCGTACCGCCGCCGACACCTCAAGTCGTACCGCCGCCGACATCTCAAGTCGTACCGCCGCCGACACCTCAAGTCGTACCGCCGCCGACACCTCAAGTCGCACTGCCGCCGACACTTCAAGTCGTACCACCGCCGACACCTCAAGTCGTACCGCCGCCGACACCTCAAGTCGTACCGCCGCCGACATCTCAAGTCGTACCGCCGCCGACACCTCAAGTCGTACCGCCGCCGACACCTCAAGTCGCACTGCCGCCGACACCTCAAGTCGTACCGCCGCCGACACCTCACGTCGTACCGCCGCCGACACCTCAAGTCGTACCGCCGCCGACACCTCAAATCGTGCTGCCGCCGACACCTCAAGTCGTACCACCGCCGACACCTCAAGTCGCACTGCCGCCGACACCTCAAATCGTGCTGCCGCCGACACCTCAAGTCGTACCACCGCCGACACCTCAAGTCGTACCGCCGTCGACACCTCAAGTCGCGCCCCCAGTACCGACGTTTCAAGTCGCGTTTCAACCACCTGTACAACACTTCGATCAACCCGCTAATGCACCAGTGCCTCAAGTAGAAGTTACACAAATAACTTTTTGAACAATTCAATTCCAGTAGCTCATATTTCAGGTATGAAACCACAATACACTCAATTTAATTCTGTTCAATTGCCACGTATTGATTTGCCCGTCTATTCAGGCGAGTATACGGGGTGGGCTGAATTTTGGGATATGTTCAATACTGCTGTAGGTTTAAATCCACAACTTAGTCCAATAATAAAATTTGCTTATTTGAAAAGGTCGTTAGAGGGGGGGGGGCTCTAGAAGTAATAACCGGCTTAGATCTTACTATAGTAAATTACAGTTTGGCACTCCAGCTTCTGACCGAACGATTCGGCCAGCCACATCAAATTATCGCTGCTCATATGCGTGCATTACGCACAGCAGACACACCCAATTATGATGCCAATTCTTTACGGAATATCATGATACCCTGGAAAAGCACATCAGGGCACTTCGTTTATTAGGTGTACCCGAGGCGGGCCATGAGAAACTCCTCATACCCATGATACTGGATACATTCCCAGTTCAATTTCAACAAAGTTTAGCGCGATCCAACCAAAGCGGGGAATGGACATTAGTCACACTCAGTCAGCATATGTTACACGAGGTTAAAATCCTCGCCATAGGTCAGGTAGATTACGACACAAACCCTTCAGCAATACATGCTTTCACCCAGAGTACACATGACTCAACACAGTTCAAGTCCAAACGATATGGGCGTCGTAATTACAATAATACTGACAAATCTTACAGTGGTACCACATATTCTGATCAACAGAAACAAAACCATGTCACACAAACTGATCACACTCATGGTAGAACACAAATTGGTGACAGAACCCCACATTGCATATATTGCAAAGGCAAGCATTACACCACAAATTGTACAAATATTTCAACTAGGAAGGATCGAGTCGAATTTATTACCCAAAATAAACGATGCTTTAATTGTTTGGGAAAGC